CAGTGAGTTGAATATTTGACTCTGACACTTGTTCTACACACAAAACACAAGGTTTTTCATTACAGAGGAACTTAGTGTGTCGTCAGCGCTTCTTAAAGATTTGACATTTGGCTGCAGTATCTGTATGTTGGTTAATTTTCTTATGAGCCCCATGATGGAAAGACTTAAAGGCGAACTTGAGAAAAAAGTTAAAGAAATTAGACTGTCAGGTTCTGTTACATTGTTACATGCCTCTTGCTAAAGTGTTTGTTCATTAATTTATATCCAGCACATTACATAAAGCAAATGTGGAGGGGAAAAGGTTATGAAGAACATGGCTTTTGTTTTGTTTTTTTGTGGTTTTTTTTTGGGAAGATCCATCCAGTCCCATAGTAGGCCTTAGGAGTGACTGGCGCGGCCGGTTTATTTACCGTACGGTATGAAGCTATCATCCCGGGAAAGGGAAGAATCTCTATTGATCCCCGGAGGAAGGGACAGGCAATCATTGGGTAACCAATGAACAGCGTGGCTGAGGCGCTGATAGGGGCCCTGACGCACAGGAGGGAGGAAAGACAACGGACAGCCACGCGGGGCGTCGCCTGAGCAGAGACCTGGGCGTGTGCAGGAGCCTCCTCGGGGCACGAGCTGCGAGCCCAGGAACCCACGGGCCCCGAGATGCAACTGGGCCGGGCGTGTTCTGCCCAGGGAGGGGGACAGGAGCCAGATCGCAGTCACGGGGGCCTGGCTGACCCAGAAGTTCCTATTTTATTCTGATGGCCAAGGAAAGCCACCGGAGGGGTTAGACAGCCGTGCAGTGATATAATCTGCCTGATACTCGGGAAAACAAAACACAGAAGCCCCATTCTAGCTCTGTGTGGAAGGGAAGAGATACACTGCAGGGGACAAGAGCAGAAACGAGCAAGCTGGGAGGCCACTGGGAAACCTGTATTTTTGCAGAGGTTACTTTGCCGGAGTCTCCCGTCACTTGGCTGCTGGATCTGATCGAGTTTAAGCCAACAGCTCCAAACCGACCGCGGGCCCGGGGACGTGCAGAGGAGGTCTGTGTCGCCACGACTGCGATGCCTTCTGAAATCTTCCACTTACCACGGTCTCCCCCATTCCAGTTCCCTACATTAAGTTACTCTAAGCCACAGATGAAAATGAATTACCTGAATCTTGGGGCATCACTCAAATTTAGCAGGCGCCAGCGAGAGCAGCCTGCCTTTCTAATTTTAAGACCTGCTGGGTGAACTCCTCCTCTCTCGAGCTCCCCTGGTCTTTTGTGATTAATTTTAGTAACGGGGGAACGACCTGTTTAAGAACAAATGAGTCACAATACAGCCTAATATCCAGAAAACTACCATCACCCTCCTCCACAGAGAATATATCATTTCCAAGTATGAGACTCTCGTGGTTTCAATATTCCTACCCCGTGTTAACGCTACAAAGCTTCCTGCCTTGGCGGAGAGACAGGGAGGGACAGGCCAGGGACCTGCAAAACGCAGCGAGCAAGCAACGTGCAGACTGCCTTCGGAAAGGTACTTGTCTTAGGTTGGTTTATGACAAGACAACCAAAAAAACACCACAACACAAAAAAACACCTCGCCTGTTGTGGAGCAAATTTGTAGCCAGGGCTCCCGGTGATTTGGGCTCCAGTAGGAGGCTCCCCGGGCGGCCTTTCCAGCAAAGGTTCTCAGGTGCAGGTTCATCTGACTGTTTGTACACCTGTCTGATCTTCCTCAGTCACTTGTATGGATCAAGAAAAATAAATAAGGAAACCGTCCGACACAGTTTTCATCCCAACCAGTCCAAAGGCTATTATTGCCCAGATCCATTGCTGTTTTTTTAAACTCCAAAGAATTAAGACAATGGTTTCAAATGGCTACTGCGAAAAGTAGGTAAAGCCAGTCACTCGCGGCGCCCCCGCGGTAATGATGCCGACGAAACATCCGCTCCTAGGTAATCGGGCAGCTCAGCAGCCGTCTCACGTGCAGCTAAAACTGTTCAAGTAACTGGAGGCCAGATAAAAGCAACGGGGCGATCACATTAGGTTACCAGACCTCCGTCCACTCACCCTCTTCGGTTCGACAATGCTTTTCCAGCGCCCGTTCTGTGCCAGGCTGTGCACTGGGCTCTTAGCTTTCAAAGGGAAAAGACACAGGATCTGCTCACGGAGAATTCCCCGTGCAGGCAAAATCATTAAGCAATGCAGCAACTTAAAAAAAAAACCCGCAGGCACCGACTAAAAGCGCCCCTGAGAGGCTGGCGAGGATCCCTATGGCTCGCCGCGCTTCACACACGCAAGTCTCTCTCAAACCTGGTGTCAGAGACAGTTTGGACCTTTTCACAAGAAAAATCACTCCCTACCCAGTCCTCTCACCTCCTTTTGGACCCACGACAGTCCTACCCGCCTCACGCACGCCCCTCTCTCAGACCTGGCTCCACCAGGTTTTTGGCGGCCTCCCAAACAATCTCCACACTCTCTGAGGCTGACAATTTGCCAGCACTGGAGGCTTTGAAAAGAATGTGCTACTGGCCTCTGTGCTATTCTAAGAGCGGAGTTCCACAGATGTCTGAGCACTGACAACTTCCACTGCTGGACGGAGCTGAAAAGCCCCCAGGGCCCCTTGAAAGCAGGCCTTTGGCTAAAATCTGAGGCACCCTGTCATCAAACACACATACACGCACTCCCCTGCTCTCGGCCAAAACCTGGGAAGGGCAGAGAACGGACGCTCTACTGTCCGGCTGTCTCCTGAAGTTCACTGTCAGAGCTGCGGCCGAGGGGGCACGTCTCTGGAGCTATTTTCATTCCCAGCTAAATTAACTTGGCGCAAAAGTAGCAGGAGTCCCGTCCCTTGCAGGAGATGCTCCTACAGCTTCGAATCTGGTACGTAAAAGAATCTACCCACTGAGGGTCTGAATTAGCACTGGGATTTTTTGGTTAGGTTTATTTGCCTGAAATAATTTGTTTCTAAGGGTTCCTGTGGCGCCGTAGCCCGTGAGGAGCGGTACCCGCGGGCGAGGGCAGGGTGGTTTCAGGACCTGGCGAGGGTGTCCGCAGAGGCGTACCCGGGAGGCGAGCCCACCAGGAGGCACAGAACACTCCCGTGCCTCTTGCGGGAGGTTCTTTTTTACGTCCCCTGAGTTTGTGTGCCACTGGACAGCAGCATCTGGCGAGAGATGTCAGCGCCTTCGGCCAGCAGGGAAAACACCACAATACTGGTCTGTTTGTAAAAGAAAGTTTTGAAAAGAACTGCAATCCATCTGAAAATGCCACCACCTCCAGGGAGCCCTCCCTCACTCTCCCATTAGACGCTCTCTCTCCCTCCACTTTACAGCATTGTATTTCTTCGCGCCTTCTGCAGCTATGCATGTGATCTTACAGTATAATCAGTGGCCTACCTGGCTCGCCCCTGTGATGTAAGAGGCTGTACTGGGAGGGCAGGAATGAACCTGTCTTCACCGTCACGACACCCCGGCATGAAGTCCTTAAAAATATTTGTGACGGAAAGGAACTGAGGGCTGAGAGACTACTAAGTTCATCCTCTGTATTTATTTTTAAAAAAGCAAACCAAGGTTAAGGAAGGTTTGCAGAACGAACTGGTAGGGCAGGATACCCAGATCCCACGCCAGGCCCCTCTGAGCTCCCCTGGCTGCGTTTCAAATGCCACTTGTTTAGCACCTGCACCTTCTACGCATCTCGCTTCCCTTCATCGGTTCAAGGATATAAAAATATTTCGGGTAAAACGGGGTTTGCTCACAAAATTGTCTTATTTCCACAGTAAATGTAAAAGCACACTTTGAGAAAAATAGGAGATTTGCTAATTAGATTTATTGCCAGATGTTTTAAATGTTTTGAGTTTTGTTATAAATGAAGCTTTGAAAGGTTGAACTTTAAACAATTCAGCAGCTTTTTTTTTTTTTTAATTTGATGGGTTTCTAAGGCACCGAAAAGAACTCGAGAGCAGAGAATCCTCCAGGCTGCCGTGAAGAGCAGAGAGCGGTTCTGCTTTCCGGGCCTGCAGGTCCCTCAGCGCGCGAGTTAAAACCCGCCAAGCCGAGCTGCTCCGAGCCCTGAGCGGGAGCCCGGCCCTGCCTCCGCTGCCACCGGGAAATCGGTCTCCTGATGGGAAGGTAGAAAATCCCTTGAAGCACATAATTTAAGGGTCGGTGACTGAAGTGAGCTGGCGAGAGCAGCGCAGAAGAGAACGGCCTACTCTTCAGGCCTCCCTGGAAAATTGTTTTTTCAGTTAAAAATATTCCTTTCTGTGTAACAGCCCAAGTTTCTTTCCGCTCAAACGGGGTGGGGAAAAGTAGGCTTACAGTTGTGAGTACTCCACAGTTTATCCTTGGATTATCACTTATTAATTATTGTATTATTTTCCGTACACACAAACTGCAGACCTACACTGGCCACCCTGTGTTTTTGATGCCGGTACCTCCAGTGCCCCCCGAGGCCCACTCTCCTCGGCTGGCCCTGTTTCCGGCACACAGCGCTGCTCCCCGGAGACAGGCGCAAACCAACAAAGCTCCCCGTTCCCCTGCGGCAGCTTCGGGGGTCATCCGCTCAGGGGGACAGATGTGAACTTCTTTCAATCAACAGGGGCATTTATAACTCGTGAGGCGAACGAGAAACAGTCTGTTACACTGGCTGAAAGCAATGACGGGCCTGTCGGTTAATAAACTGAAGGGTGATTTACGGAGGTTGTACAGTGTGTCAGCATCTTCAGGAAAGGGCCGCGCTGTGTTCCCGGAAAGCTATGTGGTGGAGTTTGTCCATGTGGCTGCCCGGGGGGAAGGTTGAAGGGGACCAGCCAACACGAGACTCTTCTCTGATCCCTAAGCGGTCCCGACAGGGCTCAGGAGGACACACATCTGCTCGTCGGGACGAGCGAAACAGTGCGACACTAACGGAAGCCTTCCCATCCGTAGCGTGGGCCCCACCAACAGCTGTACGGGCATTAAACAGTTACACCCGGAAATCCGCGCGGGCGTCCGACAACAGTCCCCGGGTTACTTACATCGGTGTCGGGTCCCTTATCCGCACCCGGACACGAGAAAGTAACAAATTCATGGCACCTCTTGTGAACCACAAAACAGCAAACTGGGGGAAGAGAAAAGAAAACTCAGGTTAGAACAGACCGGACTCAGTGTACAAGCTTGTTGTCCACAACGGGCCACACAGACTGCTAGGCGTCGATTTAATGTCACTACAGACAGGATCTCGGACGTCAATCAGAAGGCATTTCATTCAAGACTCAGCAACATTCGGCATCGATTAGACTCGCAGGTAATAGACTCATAAAACGCCAGCCCTGACAGGGCCCGGGGGGGGGCCCAAACCGCGATTCCAGTCTCTCAAGGTATAGACCAACGACCAAAATTTAAAGTCCTTTGCACTGTCCTATACCAACATGCTCACGCTCATGTGCATGTTTATAAATGTTACCCCCTGTGGGTGACATAAACTATAGAGTTTATAACTGTACATAATACATGGGTACCCCCCTAAACGTGGGTGGCAGAGCTTCCTTAGCGAAATTCTGAACTTGAGAAACTCATTAAGACACAAGCCCAGGCTACAGAGAACAGCCCTTCAAAATAAATGAAGACAGGCCGGGGAACACCCTCACGCCTTCTTGTTTCCGCCCGCTTGCCGTAAATCTCTAATGAGGAGGAGAGAAGGGGAGAAGGGGA